GGGCGCAGGAGAAGGGCGGACAACGCCCTTTTCCGGCCCCCATGAATGGGTCCAGGGGCGAGAGACTTGGGGAAGTCCCCGCCCCCTATCCGTTGTACCCGAGGCGGAGGCGCGCGCGGGTGTCGGCGCGCGCCTCTGAGGCGAGGCCCGGGGTAGTTAAACACTTCACTACCCCGTGCAGGAGACGAGGCCCGGACAGACCGGGCCAGCACTAGTGTGGGGCTGCGGAAGAATTTGGATTCCCGCGGCCCCGCGCGCATGTGTGAGGGGACACCGAGGTGGTTTTAGCCGGTAAGAGTCCGGCACGCCCCTCCGCCTTTCCCCAGGCGGAGGTAGTCCATGAGGATTTCCCCCCGAAAAAAAAAAAAAATAAAAAAAAATGGGTGTACAGACCTAGACCGGGTGTCTTAACAAAAGCTGTTCCCGGATCCAAAAAAGAAAAAAAAAATGGGTGTACAAACCTGAATGATAATTTAGATGGCTTTTATTTCGGGTGCAGTAAAGCACACCGTGTAATTGGTTCGATTCCGTATACTGTTGAATCCCGGTGGGGTAAATATAAAAAAATATGAATGAACAGACTATTTTTAGTTAGTCAGAAACCGTTGCATCATCTAACCGAAACGCCAATGGTAGAAATGCTCCATGAATTTTGAAATGCAAAAATATGTGATACACCCAGACTCAATTTGCTTCACTCAACTAACACTGCCTGTTCTACATTCTATCTTTTGCCAGTTGGGTAAGGTAAGGATACAATATTTAATTATTAATTAAATATATGATAATGTAAAATATTTTCATGCCGTTTAAGGTGATTTAGACAGATATTTATAAAGATCTTACTTTACTTTTGGTCTAATTTATACATCATTTAGGTTTTGATAGAATTTTAAAGAATGTATTAGTTTTAGAAATTAAGGTTTTGGACTACATCGACACTAAAAATAACAAAAGTTATTTACACAAATTTTAAAGCTACCTAATGAAATTTTAATGAAAAGAGTTTCGAATAGATCCTTGCTATTTTACAGAATTATCCGCTCTATAATAATCCTCGTACATGGAATTAGTTTATTGCTTTGCTGAGCAATATAGTTTGCCTGTAATCCTAAATTTTATATAAAAAATTTAACAGTATACCCAGTTATACAACTATCATATTTGGCATAATGTTTATGGTATAACGTAATAATTTCATCAGAAGTCGATTTAATTTTATTATTTAAATTAATTAGTCACTAGAGTATGTCTGGTTTTGTGGTTTGTGACGTTTAACTTTTATATTTATCTGTTCATTAAAATTATTATATTAATCCTGAGAAGCACCAACACTATTCCGGGAAGATCAACAACAATATTCTAAACTAACTTTTATAACTAAGCAGAAGAGTTGATTTTTGTTTGACACGAGTTTGCAGAATTCTTTTTAGATTTAGCAGTACAATTTTTGAGGAGTGCCTTTTGCATCTAGGTAACTACCCGCTTTTGAGAACTTAGAAATTATTATACGTATATAAAACTGCAGGGAAACGTCATGTAATTTAAAATGAATAAGAGAATATTGTTATTAACAAATGGTTTTCTTGTCAACATACTTTCTTTGTGTAAATTCCCTTGCTGAGGTGCATACGTCAGTTGTTTACTGTATCTAAACAAATTATACTCTTGTCAAAAAGTCCCTTGACATTTTGTTAAAAATAAATATAATATTGTATAAGACGGTAATTCACCTAAAAGAAAGTGCAAAATTTGCTTTGCCGAATGAAGAAGGTCGATCAAGATAATTAAATAAATACACCGTATGTTCACATCAACATTCATTGTGTGGTCTGATTTATTATTACGATGGCATATTAACTGCATGCATGTGAAGTATGGGTACCCTTCGAGTGGCACTATTTCACGCTATTTTTGTAAATCTACGGCATATTTGATCTAAGATACTGCTTTTAGACGCAATTTTAAGTATTCAACTTTACATTAGATCGTTTAACAGTTCACTTTTCAATAGAGTATAGCAGGTACATTTGCTTTCACTTATTTGCAGGGCGATTGTATTTTTAAAATTAACTTTAAAATAGTGTTTAACATCTATGTGACTAGATTTTGATTGTATCCACGTCTTAAAAGTAAGAGACTAAGATTATTTTGGTTATCTAAGTAAAAAGGGTTCTCATACTTTAAATATTAATTATGGTAGAAAATTCAAAACTTAGGCAGCGATTTCTTCTTACTGAAATACAACGGGTGTACACAAACTGGTCCATGAAATGAACATCCTTTTAAAATGAAAATTCTTCCTTATATAGTTATCTATGGTGAGGTGTTCTGCATACTTCTGCAAAAATAAAAATAAAATGTTAGTATACATAAATAGGTCGTGTGCTGTGTGTGTATAGGTCGAGTGCACACTGACAAAGTTTAAGCTCTTTTTGATTCAATAATACAACGGGTACTTATCTATACAAATAAATAAAATTGGAGTGTCTGTTTGTAATATTAAAATAAACGCTTTTGACTAAATGCATATGTATGTTTACACGGTACATATGCCAAAATAACATTTTTTACAATTTTTGTCTGTCTGTTTGTTCCGGGTAATCTCTGGAACGGCTGGACCGATTTCGACGGGACTTTCACTGGCAGATAGCTGATGACATAAGGAGTAACTTAGGCTACTTTTTTTAGACTAGCTACACCCCGCGGCGTTGCTCGCGGTTATAACAACAAACACGGGTAACACCGCGGGTCTCAGCTAGTTTAATATAAGATTGATAATTTTCATAAATTTAGATCTTTAGAATAAACTATATTGAAGACCACTAATAAGATACAGTTGAAGCTAATCTTATCTTACAAATTAGAGTAATGGCGGTCTTTTCGATGTCAGCTATCTCTACTAGACAACCAAATGCAATCCATGAAAAATGAACCGCAGTTCCATCAACAGCCATTAAAAGTCTACAGCTGGCACTACTATACCACGCTGGCCAGATGCCACTTATAGGGTTTTTGACAAGTTTTCCTTCTCTTTGTAGTGCTGTTGTTCTGCGTAGTTTGATTCCTTAGTAGGCTTTTACGACACCCACGGGATGAACAGGAGTAGTGACACTCCGTATTCTTAATCCACCACCACATGGAAATTAAATTTAATTAAAATGTGTTTAAGTACAAAAAAAATTAAAGACTTCTTACTTCTGGGGACACTTTTTAAAGTTGATTTTGATATACTATCGCTATCTTCTGATTCTGAACACATTTGGAAACTTGTTTCTGGAACAATTAAAATAATTTTATACATATGTAGTGTTATTATACTAAAAATAAAATATAATACATACATACAAAGAACAATGGCAGGTCCCTTATACATAATTTTATTTGAACTGAAATGGTAGCGTTTAAATATCAAAAATGCCTAAAACGCTTGAGAATTTATTTTTGACCATTCTCATAACAAAATTACTAGCGAAAGAAGTCTAGGAAAAAAGATATTGTATTTTGAATGTTTCGAGGTTAAGTACTAACATATTGTCAATGTTTTGTTTGAAACTAGATGGCGTTGTGTCTCATATAACAGAAAATATTATTAATCATTAACAATCCTATTTTGCTGTTGAAAGTGTTAGCCGACTCTCTAAAAGGGTGCAGGTTATTTTACCAAAACAATAGAAAAAATCGCTCACCGAGGTGTAATACTAGCTATAAATAAATAAATAATAAATTGAAACAATAATTCGAATAATTGTACTTAAATACACATTTACACAAGCCAGAAGCAATTTATTTATTTATTGGACAGCTAGTAGTTTTTACATTATTTACTAAAATCTAAAGCATGCATCCGTTACATTGAGATTAATGCACAACATTTTAAGGCGTCACATCATGCATAACAGACTATATGAATCGACTATACAGGACTGCACGGATGGCGTAATGGTTTAAGCGGTCAAGTGTTGTGGGTCCGATTCCCACATGGGACGACACTTTGTGTGATTTACAAATTGTTGTTCTGAGTCTGGATGTTCTTTGTGTCCATTTCATGTATGTTTGTAAAGTCCCCGCGACACATGATATATCCCAAATGTGGGAATTGTCTTAAAAAATAATAATATACGAAATTAAAAATATAAAAACATAACATATTTGCGAGTTTAACACTACATTGAAAAGTAATAAAAAAACAAAGAATTGTCGTGTAAGCAATGGTCATGAAGTCATGCACGTGAGTGTCAAACGACAAGACTGTTGAGTGCGGCACTCGACAGGATCCAAACGGCGATGTATCGACATTTTGAAAATATCGATGTATCTCTATTTATGAGCCGTATTCAACGACAATGATTTTTTCTCATCACACTGTGCAGTATATTGTTAGACTGCGAACATTGTTAAAATAACGTAACTATATTCTATTAATTTAGTCTAGCAAAAATCGTTTAAAAAGAGTCAAAAATATTCCAAATTATTTGTAATTATGTTGATTTAGTCACTCTACCGCGCGAGTGAACCCGTGTGCAGAAGCAAATTCATAATCATAAAAGGTGAACCTTCGGTAGATATTTCAGCCAAAGCTATAAAAGCGATTATCGATAAAACGTTTCATAATATAATAATGCCATCACGAATCCCTAGTCGGTTATACGTGATGGCGAATCTGACATTACGTACTTAGTCAAATAAAATCTTCAAAAATATCCGATCTTTTATTAGACTTATACAACACATGGTAGTGCAATGATGAATAATAGAAAAAATATTTATGTAGTTTACGGTGTGTCAATTTTTTAAACGCTTGAGTTTTAGGTAAATATGTTTCTGCCATTGTTCTTTTATATATACATACGCTCAAGCCTGTATCCCGAAGGGGTTAGCAGAGGTAAATTCAACGCGCATAGCACATATGTTATATGGCACAAGCCTAATCAACCAAGTACTCGACTTTTATTTTTGAATTATTAATTAAATAAATCTTCTACTGAATTCTTCTTAGTCTAATTTTCTATTCTTAGAGCTGGCACAGGATAATGCAAATCCTGGTCCCACCCTACAATAGCGTGTAACGTGTGATACATCGTTTCATAAGTATTTTGTAGGTGGGACCAAATTTCAAACTAACCCTCACACTATCCTTCAACTGGGAGACGTACAACTAATTTATGTTGTTAGTTTATGTTGGTTACATATATTTTAGATTAAAAAAAAACTATGATTACAACTGTAACCTCAGTGCACATACCTTACTAGATTTCTACACCACCCAAAAGTTGGCTGAATGCCTAGGGCGTTAAGTCCGCCGCATAAGTGTATAAAGTGTATAAGTGTATAAGTTGTGCATAAGTGTATAAAGTTATAAATAAATAAACAATGCACATACATAAAAGTTGAAAAAATACACATAGAAAGTCAAATATATAGCTTACCTGTGTCATATCTGCTATGTTTAGTATGTCGACTTGGCATATCTTGGTTCTCTACATGACCGAAGGTTCTGAAGCCCACTGCAAACTGGGCATAGGGACTTATCTCGTATAATTCTGAAATTGTCATGGGTAAAATGGATTTAATAATTCGTTAATCTTAGAAAAAACATACGTCATGGCTCTGTTACCAATTGTATATCATTATTTTAGTACACATTTTAAATTTTGTGACGATAAGAATTTAGAAAAAGACGAAGAAGTTTATTTATCAATTATATTTTTTTACGATAACTTTAGCCTTTTGTCTTGGTGTCTGTATTTGACTGGCTTGTTTATCTAACGGTAAGTAAGTGACCCTGACAGATAAGATCGAGGTCGTTTAATCGAGTCCCACCCAGGACAATTAATTGTGTGGCGAGCACCATCTTTTGTTCTGTGCCTTGGTGTAATTTATCTATATATGAATGTATTTAGAAATATGTAAGCATGTAACAGTTTGGTTACCATAGTACAGGCTCTGCCTTATTAGGTATCAGACGGCCGTGTGTGAGATGTATAAAGTTATTACTCTTGTTATGTAAATGTAGGTTCTTTCTAATCGAGTATATGTTACGATTAAAACAAAATCGATAGTATACTCACCATGCTTGCTATTATTCCTCATATGTATTGGAGCGCTGTATATCCTATTCTGGGCATTCATAGCATTTTCTTTAACATTGGCAAGATTTGTGTGTGAGGTATTAGCGGTAATGTTACCGCTTTCTGATTTATTATCTACTGTTATTGAGTCACGATATTCCGTCAAATTGCCGGTCCTGTAAAATGTGAGACAGTTTAGGCACAAGAATTTACTTTCTTTAATAATATGAATACATTATTAAAATGTATAAAAGGAACAGTATATTAAATTTTATCATCATCAATCATCAACAGCCTTTAACTGTCCACTACTGGACATAGGCCTCTCCTTAGAAAGGAGGTTTTGGCCTGGCCAGACGGGTTGGTATAGGGTTTGTGTCAAGTTTTCCTTCTCTTTACAGTATTGTTGGCCTGCGTAGTTTGCTCCCTTAGTCGGCGCTTATTATTATTACTACTACTACTACTACTACTTACTCTTATTTTATTCGTATTTACGTACCTTTGTCGTTTTACTAGTATGTAGATACAGCTTAACAAACATAATGTTAGCAGTATTGAACTACATATTATCACTAGCATATTCAGGTCGAAAATCTCTGAAGGTGGACCGACTTCACCTGAAATCCATAAAAAAGAACACTTCTTTAGTTATGGTTCAAAAAAAACTTCAGTGTAGTTTTAATATTTCGACTAGTAGTTAGTTCGTGGGTTTGATTCTCAACCGCGACAAATAATAGAGTGATAAGGAAGATCGTTTGTTCTGTGTCTGGGTGTAAATTAAATATAATATTTATGTATTTTGAAATATTTTAAGTACCTTTCGTCAGACGACGACATGTGGGTTAATATAATAAAAAAAGACATAGGGTTTTTAGGCTTTATGGTTTTGAACAGGTTAGGTGTGATCATGGAAGCCAATACCTTCAAAAGTTGAGTATAAAAACTAAATCTAACTAGGCGTTCCCCCAGTTCTTGTTTCTTGATTAGGCCGCATTTTACAATAAGGTAATAGGCATATACTCTTAATATATATGAAGAGAATAAAAAAATAAATAAAACAATGAATGACGTAAATACAAACGTAATTACGGATTCATTTGAAATGTGGTTAAGAATTATGAGTAAAAGTGTTACGTCTTGTTTAAAGACGTTCGTAAGTATCGAATGCTTCTGTTAAATCTTTTGGAACGAAGTTCATTACCCGCTCTGAGCGATATGAGAGAGAGCAAAAATGTGTAATAAGACTTTTTTCTGACACTTCTTGCGAAACTTCGTTGACCGGGGGTGCATAAACCTGATTGCACGATGATTTCGACGTGATCGAAAAATGTGTAATAAGATTTTTTTCCGACACTGTATTAAACGTTTACCAAAAAGCGAAAGGAACTTCGTTCTGACCGTGGGTCCATAGACCCCTCATGCCTTTTTTATGATATAGGTAGGCAAATGAGTAGAAGGATCATCTGATGATAAGTGCCGCTCTTTAAGCCCTCCTTTCAGAATGACGAGGGGCGGGGGAGGTTTTGGGCTCCAGTAACCTCACTTACTTGGTGAAAAGCTTCGAAATAATTGTTAAGATTGGTGTTTATATCATGTATTAGAATTCAATCATTAGGTACCATATAGTTATAAACCACTTACTTCCATCTTCGTTTTTTGTAGCATAATTATATGTGGTTGTGACGCTTCCTGCTTCATTGGTAGCCGTTACTCTGACCTGGTACCATGAACCAGGTGACAGATCAAGGATAGCGTATGTTGGTATTTTTGTTTGGTACAAGTTTTGGAGGTTCCACGATAAATCTGAGTAAGGCTGTAATAGAAGCAAATAAACTATTTTGTAAAGAAGTGCAAGCATTAATCAAAAAATAGTTCTTAAATTTAAGTAGTGTGAAGCTTAAACAGCTAATACCTAAAAGTGTGCTAAGGTTATAAGCAAGTGACGACGCTACAACGGCTCTATTGGTCTCTGGTAAGTCAGAGGACGTGGGTTCGATTCCCATTAGGAAAAAAATAATTGAGTAGGACTAAGATCATTTGGCCTGTGTCTGTGTATAATTGATTCATAGTAATGTATAAGTATATTTATTAGCATTTTTTTTTAACATGTGGAAACCCCCTCGGGCCGTCACCAAGCCGGGGTTTGCGGCGGGGCGGTGTGTGGGAATTGAACCGACTAAAACCACACGGTGGGCTACTCCGCGACTGAGATAGAAGGGAACAGCTGATATTAAAACATTCGGACCCCTCCCAACGCCTCTAAATCTAAAGGTGGTGCCCGCAACTGCGCGGGCACCACCTTTAGATAAACTCTTTATTTAGGTGACGTCGCGGCTGGCCATTATAGCAGATGGAGGAGAAAACCCGTCCCGTCAACCGCTGCCACAGGGCGGAATGAAGCGCTGGTAAGCGCGCCTACGCCGCACTATGGAAAACGGTAGAACAACGGCATATCAAAAATCCTTTTTACCAATATCGTTATTGAAACGCTTTTAAAAGTTTATTGATTAGTGTAAAAATGGAACTTTAATATAATGTAGTGGTTTGGCATGAATTACATTTGAAATAAATTTTTTAATACCACAAAGTGTAATTCTTAGAATGTCTATTTTAGGTTTGTTCGCTTCAATACTTTAAAATTAATTTATTACAAAAATTTGTGGGAATAGTTATAAAGTGTTTTACATTTCTAAAAAGCTCATTATTTGTAGATTTTAAAGCAATTATAATATTGTAGGTTTTATAATTATATTTCCATGAAAAAACATTAACAAGATGAGGGGGAAGAGGACAATATTTAACGTCATCGAGGCTTTTGACAGTTACCGACAACTCCCGACAGTTTATATTTGATGTTGTTTTGTAGCGTAGATATTCATAAATAACAATTACAAAAATCAGAGGCGGATACGTGCGGTTGCCGAAGTTATCACGAAAATTATGATACAAGTCAGGAAACAGAAAACCACTATGTATTATGGTTTCTATTTTCTAACTATTTAATTGATTAGTTTGCGGTATATTTTTATTCCATATTAGTTTTTTATTGAAAATAAGGCGTTTTATCTACATTTTTCACTCAGTTTGCAGGCAACTTTAATTAACAAAATACACACCACCCTCATTTATCGAATAATATATAAAGAGTGGCTTCCTTTAATGTCGCTATTACAAATTCGTAATAAACTAAACAGACTGATTCGTATCTTCGCTGAATTTCAAAATGTCTACTACTTTTAAGTGTTCTAAGCGTGAATTAATACTTTCATACATTGAAGGAGAAAAAAACTTGAAGCTCTATCATAAGTTTTAAAAGTAAACTATAATGTTTCTGAAGACGATATGTGGTCCTCGTACCTGTTCAGATACTTCATCTGAGCCTGAACGGTACGAGGTCCAAGTTGACAATGATAACCCAGGGAAGAAACCTATGTTCCAAAGAACAGACCCTCTCAAATTAACATCTCGGTCCTCGCACACGACGGTACGCTCCTCTAAATAGTCTGCCACTAGCCGCCTCAGGTACTTTGGCACCCCATGATAGTGGAGTGCTTCCCTGATGCAGCTGAATGGCAGACTATTGAATGCGTTGGCGATGTTAAACGACACCGCCAACAGCAGGCTGCCACGGCTCACTGCCTCTTTGGTTACGGTGCTGAGGCGCAATACAGCGTCGACCATCGACGGCCTCGTTCGAAAACCGAATTGGGCGTCCGACAGATCAGGGCCCACCTCACAGAGGTGCCGGACGATGCAGGCAGAGAAAACCCTCTCACACAATTTACCCGCCTCTTTCAGTATCCATTCCTTCACTCAGTACCACTTCCATCGTGTGATGGGCCTGTAGGCACCGACCGAATCGGCGGGCCGTCGCGGCTTTCTAAACAGGACCAGCTTCCCGTTCTTCCAGCACTCAGGGTAACGTCCGGGCGCCAAGCTAGCGTCGAACACTTCCTTGAGGCGGTCTGCTATTTGTTCGAGGGCTAGGGCCAGTATGCCGTCAGGCTCTGGGGCGGTCGTCTTGGAACTGATCCGTAGAACAGCCGCCTCCACCTCCGAATCCCGGACGGGCGGAACATTATCATCGTTCTCCCCGTCGTCCACAGTTACCATAAAACTACACTGATGGCACACTGGCCTACACGTGATACCAAGCGACTGACTGATGTTACTAACACTAGGCTAAGAACATTGTTACTAACAACTTGTATGTACTAAGTCTGAAATAAATTATTACTATAAATCGAATAAAAAAATTTATATGGAAAAAGCATTTCAATACCGGAAAATATGTTCATCGAATACCGTAGTCACATTAATTTCTTATTTCCTTCAGTAGAGGTCGGTCTTTTAATAGCCTAATTTGCAACTTTTTAATGGTAAAATACGTACCATATTGTTGTGAGCCCTGGTCCAAGATCTAGCACCAAGCTGCCTGTATTCTACCTCCAGAGCTTTAAGGGCACAACCTCCATGGTCCCATCCTGCCAGTTGTACGTAGATATGTGATGAGTTGCTCCACAGCCACTCGTTTGTCGATGGTGGTATAGGTACTGTGACAACATAATTACACATAAGAATCAATTACAAGTCATTATAATCGATAACAAATTAACTTTTTCAAAACTTTTTTTATGCTAGAAATTGTTGGATAGTAATACGAATATATTTAATACTATACGAATATAGTTATACGATTATATTAATAGTAAGACGATATTGTTTTTTAATTTTTAAACTAACGCGTACTATAGAATATAATGATTTATTACAGGAATTAACACGCTCACGATAGGTATTAGCCTTGCCCAATCAAGACTAATAGCTATCGTGTTAATTCCTTAGACATGAGAAGCATTGACTCATCTTGTAGCAGCCAAACTGTTGAGTGCCACTTAATTTTTTGATCGTAAACCCAAAATTCACTGGACATAATTTTGTAAACCAAACTTGGGGAATGTAGAGAATTATTAAATAATTGTGAATCGACTCACTTACTTTCTGAGTAGCTCTATACTAAAAAGTACTATACTTTGTAATTATATATCGATAGCAAGTCCTGAATTAAATATCTAATATTTCAAAACAGGGTTGGAATAATTAGAAATACGATAGAATTCCACGTCAACGGACGGTCCGTTGACGTGGAATTTCTGGCCACAAAAAAAATTTATAGGATGATGTTCATTGTCTTAAAGACTTTATGTTACTTACCTCCACCCAATGTACTGACATCTAAATATGCCGGTTGCGATGTTCCGACCTTGTTCGTGGCAGTAATTCTTAAAGAATACTTAGTTCCACACTTTAGCCCGACAAGAGCATGCTTTTGAACGCCTGACAAGTTGGGCAACTTGTTGGTAGGCCACGCTTCTCGCCATGGACTGTTGGCCTCCTTCCAGGTAAGACTATAACCTGAATGTAGGTATGAAGAACAAATAAGAAGAAATTAGCATTTGCGATGTTCTGCGCATATGACATACACTGGAGCCCATATCTTTGAAAGGATAGACTTTTGGTCCCTGAAGGGAGTTTTTTGTTTTGCTGTCTACAATTTTAGTCTCACTTACATCAATGAGGCACTTAAGGAATCCGATGGAAAAGGGAGTATATTGAAAGGAAACGTAGATAAGAAGAGAAGGCATTGGTAGAAAAGGGATTATACTTGTAAAGATGGATTGAGAAATATAAACAATAGCTTGAGCAGAACCGAGCATCTGATTACTTAGCAGCCTTCTCCTTTTATTTATTCTACTATCCGTACCCAAAGATTCATCTACGTTTTATTGTTCAGCTTCTCAAGGTTAGTTCTGATGTTTAAGAACCATATAACCATATAAGGTTAACCATGTAGCCTAAATCCGACTATTATAGGCAAGAAGTAATTTTCAAAAAGAAAGGAATTACCGTCGCTTTGATCCCGTAGAAGTATTGACACCTTGACTTTTTGATCGAAAGTGAAGCCTTAGCGCATTTAAAGAAGCATAAAGGGCAAAACAGATTGTTCCTATTGTATGTGTAGATCTATGACTTTAGAGTTTACATAAAAGACGATTTCAAATAATAAAAAATAAAATAAAATAAAGATATTTTGACTCTGACTTTAACAACTTCAAGCCTGCACCGAACTTAGGAAATTAAAATAATAATGCACAAGTACTTACTTATTTTTTGACTAGCGCTTCTATTACTAATGGAATAGTACGGTTGTTCCCATTCAACTAAGATAGAGTCTTTGTAAGGCGTTGCTCGGAGTATAGGCGCCTCTGGTAGTGGTAACACGATGACAGTGTATTCTACGGAGTCAGATCCGTAGAGATTTTTCGCCAGGCAAGTGTAGTTCCCACTTAAAGATTGGTCTATATCTGAAGCAAACAATTTTATGTGAAACAATTTTACATCAAAAATTATTATATAGGTACTTAAATCATTTGTTAAATCTGCATGCTATTTTCATGGCTAAATGGGCCTGTTCGATTTATATCAAACTTGTTTTATAATACCACATTATGTACTACCGCATTTAAAGCAAATAAATAATTTGAATTTGAATTGTCATGTCGCGTCTCATAACGACACGTCATATCAAATCTCATTTCATCACATCATATTTATGACACCATACCATACCAAACCTCGATATGGTACGATGATGCGTCATATCACATTGAATTATGTTACTTATCCGTATATAATATTATTTGTAGAACTACGGTATCTAAAACTCTTACCTAAAAGTGTCATCATTTACCAGAAATGTTTTAAATAATTTATTTAATGATATTCATAGAGAATGAAAATTTAGCAGCTAATAATCCTACGTTGACGAACTATTAAATAAAAAAGAACACTTACTATTTATCAGCAAGCTATCGTCATGGTTCCTGGTGAACCTTGGATGATGGGTGATGATATTATGTTTGTGGTACCATACGGTGCGAGGCGGTGGTACTCCAACACATTGACATACTAAGAGTAATGTGCTTCCAACTCCAACTGAAATAGTTCCACCAAGAGAAGCCACTCCAGCAACAACTGAGGATCGAAAATACACCATAAGGTTTTTCGGCTACTATTATTCCATGGTAGTAGTCGCTAGGAACAAGGATAAATATCAGAAGATCATAATTGAAGTAAGCGTTTTTTTTTATGTTTAAATATGGTTTTCTGAAAGTTGGCTACAGCTCAATTCTTGCAAGAGATGAGCGTGGAACTTTATTAAGTGATATTTCACTCAAATTTTAAAGCTTTTTAACATAAATCCTAGTTGGGTAACAGTAAAACGAAGTAACTTTTTTTAATGAAGGTATTCATAACCTTTTGGAATTCACATTGAATCAAAATAAAAAACGAATGTAGAGAAAAAGAAATCACCGACTTCAATGACTTTAATATCCTAATAAATAATGAGCAGTATTCTTCTTTTCCACTCTTAGACATGGAACATTTTTTCTAATTTATGTTGAACTTACCTTAAGTATTTTACTTAATACAAAGGAATGAATTAAAAACGATTGATAAATAATTGAAATCGTTCATAAATAGTAAATATATTGTGTAAAATACAAACAATGTGAATTATTGCATTTTTAACTGACTCGTATGGTATTTCCTTTTCCTCCCAGTAACAAAATATTTGATTCGGAAGGAAAATTTAATATTTCCTCTATGAATTTCAAAGCTTATCATATTGACGTATGCAATGAATTAGTTCATTAATTTACTATCAAAAATTATATACTAAGGAAAATGATATTTATCTTTTGACCCTGAAAAATAACCATGTGAATTGTTTCACATCGTTTTGCATTTTCCTTCATAACTACTTTAGTCAATCACTTTGGCCAAAACTGATTCGTTTAAAAAAAAAACAATGAGGCTCCAAAATAGATCCTTGAGGCACTCCCTTTAATAACTCTAATTTATAAAAGAAGTATGAAGAGAAAACTTGAACAGAGTAGTATTTTGTTTTCTTATTTTGAAATACCTCGATGCGTGGGCGTATGTGATACCCTTCTTGTAGCACTTCCTTCACCAGCGCTGGTACTAGCCGTCACCCATGCTTCGTAAGTTCTGCCGGAGACAAGATCCTTCACTTCAGCAGCTGTACGACCTTCAGAGTCCACGCGGTACGTCTGTGGTGGACCATTGCTGTGATAATTGATATGCTGTACTATGATTATCATGAGTTTGGTATTAAGTGATAAAAAAAAAACACTAAAATGTATCTGCAATAATTAAAGTTGGAAAAATATGATAACTTTAACTACAAGCTTTTGGTGTATGAAATAAGAGTCTGAAACTAAATATAACTGCTATAAGTTGAAATACTGTTAAAGTTGCCGTGTTAATGCTTTCAAATTTCAATATTTGAAATGTAAAAATAAGACTTGAAATTGACAATTATCGATCTGGTTTATATAAAACCGTGGCCACACCCTCGTTTACTAATACGTTATAATAAGTTACTATTATCAAAACGACGTAGCCAATTAACGTTTAGAAGAAGTACTTTACCAACGATTCAATTCAATTCGTTTATTGCACTCCATCATGTATGTATGTAAGGTCTTATAAATGTAGAAAGAAACAATTACGGATCCTGACGGGCACGGAAAAGTTAGGAGAGAAAACGATGGGAGACTCATTAAATATAGTTCAGTAATTTTAGAGTTTATAACTCTGAACGAACAATACTTTGGTCTTTTAACATCAGTATAGTTAAATTAAAAATAGATACTTACCTAGAAGTAGGTTTCACGTAAACAGTATAATGCAGAAGCTCCCCGTTTGGATGAATTGGTTTTTTCCAACTTATGAGAAGAGACGACGATGATAATACAAGGATTTTGATATCTGATGGGGAGCCGGGAACTGAAAACAAAATAATAAGAAAGAAAAGATTGGAGAATTGGATTGAGATTGAGAATTGGGGAAAGAGAGATCAAAGTAAAATCTACTAAAAAAAGTTGCCGATGTGTTTGGTTCTTACAAAGAATTATTAGTCATTTTCTTTTTTTCAATCATTTGCTTTGAAGGTTTATATAGACACAACGAAGTACATATAACGACGTAGGCATTGCAGACACTCATGATTAAAGTGAAAACTTCTCGTTAGATAGAGCCAGACACTGGGCAAATATTTGTAAAATAAATATAATATGTGAGTTGGCAACAGAATCAATCAATACAATTTTATGTTACAGCATTATTATACAAATACAATTCCAATGAAATAAGATAATAAAACCGCATAATTTGGTTTGACGTCAGCGCTGTGATAATTATCATAAGGATAAGTTGTAGTTCCAGTATCAAGTGTGTTCCTTTGTTGTAAAGCTGGCTGTAGGATATGCCACCACAAATTGAATTTAATGACAAGTTAGCACAGTTGATAATTTACTTGAGGAAACATATCAAATGATACATTTTAATGTCTGTAATATTTGTACGTTTAATAAGATTTAATAGAATTGGAAGATATTTTTTTAAGTACGTCCTGTACTTTTTGTTCCTGTACTTTTGTTCTAGACTTAAAGCACTAAAACATTTTAATCGGTATTACAGAATAAACTTATACAATAAACTTCCAGAAATACCAATTATTTTATGGCAATCACATAAACGTAACTCTATCGGGTTGATAGATTTTATTACATTCAGTTATTCATTCATTCAATTAATTACTTCAATAATACACATCATATTATATAACGGTAATCATGTATATTCGAAAGAGGAAACTGTTCATATCATGGTAAGTGATTACCGTCGCCCATGGGCACCGCTATTCAAGAGTAGCAATTTGCATTGAGTACTCTCCTTATAATTAGAGGGCGCTTGGCTCGCCGGTAACGGTTTATTTTTTAAAGACATCTCCCGCATTAGGAATATATTCTGTGTTGGGGGGGACTTAACAAACATACATGAAACGGACACAAAGAACACCCAGATTTAGAACAACAATTTGTGGATCACACAAAGTGTCGTCCCATGTGGGGGTTTGAACACACAACACTCGGCGTAGGAGGAAGCGGCATGGTGCCCGCTTAAATCACAGGTTATACGTAAAGCCGTAATATCACTTCGGTTAAATTAACCCATATGTCTCGAAACATGCCTCTCATAGTTATATTTTACATATTCGTATTATTTATATATTTCAGATTATTTTGGGTGTCTGGATCTCTAATTCTAGCAGTGGCAAAATCCGTTTTCAACCTCTATCTAACGAAACAAAGTTTGAAGTTGCTAAAGACTCACCATCTTGTAAGGTAGCACACATGATTGGGTACGAGTACGGACCAATGCCAAAGTTGGAGAAGCCAGCTACTTTGACTGTGTAGTTGGTGTACTTCATGAGACCTTGCAGATACAGTTCTGTATGCAAAGATGTTTGGTTTTGCCAGGCAGCTTCTGAAAGATGATAATTAATTTTTAAGCTACGTTTTCATTAACAATGCATTATTTCCTTTTTACGATACCGTGAAAGGAAAATTTAATGTTGTTATCTACTCGTAACTTGACTCGTAATTAGATAAATAAAGCTAACTATGCAGAAAGGTAATTCATTTAGGTACTGGTAATAGGCCATAGCCTATTATGCCTATGGCCATAGCCTATGGCCTTTTGAAGGAGAGGCCTATGTCCAGCAGTGGTCTATTAAAGGCTGTGGACGATGATGATAATGATTAGCAATACGGTAAGTGTATGTGATATTGTAATTATTTATCTTAAAACTTTCCATTGTTGTCAATAGTCAAGTTGTCCATAGTTTTATTTTATTACCATCTGTGGCAAACAGGATTGTGTATCCAACTAGCGAGCTACCCTGTCCTGGTAGTCCAATAGGTTGCCAACCTACTCTCAGGGACGTCGAAGAGACTGCAGTGCATTCTACAGATGGAGGGGCCTGTTCCGGAGCTAAAAAGATGAACAGCAGATGAATAAACGCAGAACAAGAAAAAAAATCCTTTTACTTTATAGGTCTTCTAAATTTATTAATAAAATTAGGTTTTAAAGTTGTATTAAAATATATTCTAGTTAGTATAATGTTAATACTGGCTGAATTCTGTCATTGTTATATCTACTGAATCCAATGATGACGAGATGAACACGTTAATGTATAAATATGGAAAAAACTGGTGTATGAATTTGGTTTGAATTTCAAATTAGGGGTCTACGTGAAACTTAAAGAAAAAGTGATGTAATTGTTCATATTGTATAAAACTGACAAACAAGTAAATGAATGCAAATTAGGGAGTTACAAGTGCGCTTCAGGTCTTTAAGTTAAACCAAGAATTGTCCCATGTGGGAATCGAACCGACAACACTCGGAGCAGTAGCAGTAGGTAGAGATATTGTATTCAAAAAATTATGAAAAATAACGTTAGGTAATTTCAGTTAGGAATGATATAAAAAAAAGTTTTTTTAATGAACTTCGATATTTTACGTAACTAGTGAAGAATATAATTACCTCCCTCTCTAGTATCTTGAAAAACGGGTAATGAGAATGGTCCTGAACCTGCGTTCGTGAAGGCTGATATAGAAACTGCATATCTGAAAGTTAAACAAAAACAAATCAAAAATGCTAGTAGAAATCAAGGAAGCTTAGTACACGTAACGTAACGCGCCGAAATAAAAATGACAAAAATAAATTATACTCTAATATTAACTAGCATAAAATAAAATTTTCACTATTTGTTTAAAGATATTTCGTCTCAACACGCTGAAACATAATACTAAGTTCAGTGTATTTTACAAAACGTCCTCATGGATTCTATATTGTATGCTTTATGGGCAATTAATAGACAGGCTAAGTAACATTTATAATTCTTTTACGATACCGCTTTTGATTTCATGCTCAATTCATAAAACACTCTAAAACTAGAATGACTACCTAAGAAAAGTTTTGGTGCTCTACCTGGTGTTCTTTAAAAGTCCACTGAGTATTGTTTCCTGCTTCCCAGATAATTGAGATACTTTGACGGTTCTAGTGTCAGCTTCATCTGAAACTAGAAGTATAAAAACATTTTAAAAATGTAAAGACGAACGACAACAAAATTTAAAACGTTTGAATATAGCATTCTAAGTACTTATATAAATATACAAAACTCCATTCGCTACTTCGATAACGCTACGCTCTGAGTATAATATTTGAATTACTTTAAATCTATACGTCAAAGTTTTAGTTTTTAATGTCTTATGAAATTTACCTGTCCCAATGCTTTGTGCAACGGCTTTTACATGATATCCAATGACGACACCATTGTGGGAATCTTTTAAGGGTGGTGACCACGAAATATATAATTCACCAGGGTTTTCTGTTTGCTCTACTTGCACATTTAGTGGCGCAGATGATGGAGCTGGAAGACAAAATAACTTAAACTTAAATAAACAGTATAAATAAATGCTAGTTCGACCAAGCTTATACCATAAAAGTAAACGATTATCTCACAATCTGTAATATTATCAAGTGTTATAAGTTCAGTCTACGCTACGTGTAGAAATATATGCTCTGTAAACCAAACAAGAGCAAAGCAAGCGGTGCCTTATCAAGTTAGTTTAGCAATAATTTATTTTTTCCCTTACCTTCCTCATGCGTAGTAAAATGTACAGGCGCAGTATACAAACTGGTACCAACTTGATTGCCAGTTGCTACTCGTACTGCATAAGCTGTAGCTGGGCGCAAGTTTTGTAGCTCAACTGTTTGCCGGAGATCTTGATCTTTTCTGGAAACAATAATTTTGTCACCGTAATGCATTTTGCATGCATTTTAGTCTTTAGATCCCCATTATTTAGGCATGTAAACTATTTTGTCAAAGATATTAAAAATGTTCAAGCCTGCAAGCAAGGTCCTTGTAACTGCTGCTACTTCGAACTATAAACTAAAATAAAAAATGCCTTTTATGTATTTTGCCGCGTCACGATATTGCACAGCAGTATTGTAACAATTTTTTTTATTGTACTGCACATAATGGAATTCTGAGTCACTGCTATGTCCGAAGTCTACAGCTTGGCAAAAAATCTCCTAGTTTTAAATAAGCTAGCTTAGTTTAAGTTAAGAAAAAAATAAATTAACATTACATCAATAGTATTTTTTCTATTTAAGAGAATTGATTTTACCTGGTGATATTTATAGTATTAGCGTGATCCCAAACAGCGTCGTTATAGTGTAAGTGTGAATACTGGAGGGAGTAATGTCGGGCGTGCGCCCGAAGTGTATCTCGCCAAGAAATTGTTGCAGTACGAGATCTAACAGATTCGATGCGAATGTCTGATGGTGGAGTCGGTGGTTCTGGAAGATCGCAAGACTATTAACATGGCAAATTGTGAATTCCGGGTATGTTATAGCTTAATTCATGTAGTCAAGCATCGCGTTTTGTTGGAAAAAATCTTTTTGAGGGAATTTTATGTACTGAAACATTATTTTCTAAAGTTCTATCTTCTCTTTCTCTGTCAACATATTCCAATTTCTTAGTTTTACGGTTCAATCTATTTCTGTACAAACATACTATTATTTTAAAGCAGAAAATTAACCTGAAATTATGCGAGAACTGGTTCAAGTATTCATAATAATAAATGTCAAGACGATAAATAAGAATTTACACTTGAATGTGCTTACCTAAAATGGTAAGATGTACATTAAAACTAGCAGCGCCATAGGGATTGCTGCCTCTGCACTGATATATACCAGCATCGTTGGTTTCTGAATATTGCAGGTTAATGACGCTTAACACTCCAAGTGCAGTTTTGGTTTCGGTAACTTTTACTCTGCAAAAAATGCCCAGTTCTATTAGACTAAAAATCAACTTCATCTACGTCCTCTTAAAATAACAATTAGTTGTTGGACTTGAAATACCGCTACTGAGAAAATGAAAAAAGTAAAAAGTATTAATAAAAAAATAAGTAGAAATCTAAATAGATAGATTTAACAGTAGACGAGTTTGTTCTTAAAGTAATAAGTTTCTCGGATGCTGATTCTATTACCAGAGCATTTATTGAGTATCTTAAAACTCCGCCATGAAATTCACGTGATATTAGAGTATTTTACCTCTGATTATTAAAATCCAACATGCTTCCATCATGTGTCCATGTCACTCTAATAGGCTCATCACCCATCGGTTTACATTCAAGGGTAACAGGATGTCCTAGTCTTGATGTAACGTTTGTTGAAGATACTTCAAAATGAACCGGTTCTGGAACAAATGGCCATGAAACTCGTTATAGACATGCGGACTAACACGCCTGCACCCACACTAGTGACGGACATGCTCCGTTTCTTTTGGTAATCCACTATGGAAACCTGCAACTACAAGTGCGAAGCCTGCCTTTGAATACTCCCCTAGAATTACGAAGGGGGAGAACGCTGGTAACGTCACTCATTTGGTGAAATCCAACGAATGAATTAGAAAAGTAATAATTAAAATCAGTTTCCTGTAAGGCCAAGGTGTGATTCAGTTCTATTCTACACACGTACACTATAAAGACTATTAACGAAAAATCATTCTGTTGAATGAAATTTTATTAACCTACTAATAAATCTTCATATCGTACTTACGAGTGAAGCTGAATGGTCATGTAAAAAGTATTCAAGACTTTTTTAATGTATAATACTTACTATTTACACTCATCCAAACAGTCTTGCTTAATGGTTGTCCAACTCCATTTTCCACATTACACGAATACAAGCCTTCATCGGTTAGGGAAACCTCTTCAATAACAAGGGTGCCGTTAGGAAGGCTCAGTATGCCACCACCGGCTAACTCAAGCACTGGTTGCCAAGTGCCAAGGATGGCTGAAAATAGAAGAGAAGTTTGTCTAAATTATTACACATCATCAGCCTTTAATAATCCATTGCTGGACATAAACTTCTTCTTAGAAATGAGGTTTTGGCCTACTATACCACGCTGGCCAGACGGGTTGGTTTAGAGTTTGTCTCAAGCTTCGTCTCTTTGCCGTGCTGTTGTCCTGCGTAGTTTGCACCCTTAGTCGGCTATTACGATACCCACTGGATGAATATAGGTGGTGACATTTTGTATCCTCAATCCATCACCACACGGAAATAATTATAAATCTATTGTATTTGATTTTGAAATCACGTTTTAATTTTGTTATTACCCATGGCTACCTTTTTAATTTAAAAAGGTATTGTTTACACGCACGATGTCAGTTGTTAAGAATACAATCAAGTGCTAATAAAATTTAATGAAATGTTGTCGTATACCATCTTTCTTCATCCAATGAACCTGTGGCTGTGGATAACCGCTGGCGCTACAGGACACAGTCCCGCGTCTACCAAGTAATAAAGAAGAGTTGTTGGGCTCTTCTAACCATTTTGGTGCCACTGTAACCGAAAATATAATTACTTTTAATTAGTTACACCAAAATTTCAATTTTTATTTCCTTCCAATAATATATATATATTATGTTTACAGACGTTTCAGTTTAAAAATAAAAATAGCTGCAAATTAGATAATTAGAAATATGACCGAGGGGAACTTGAAAAATACAATACCTTTACAGTATACTGTAAATGTTTGTATAATGTTTTTTTTATTAAGTAGTAGTAGTTTTAATACTTCTAGCATTTATCGGATAATAAATAAGCAGCAAATCTTTCTTAATATTGTACTCTCATTAATAAGATATCTCTGAAATCTAAAAAGCAGTTTTTTATTTTGTACGGTTATCAAATGTTTAATATTCCAATCACAAAATACTATTGGGAAATCTGAAGTTTCTTATAAAAATGACCAAATAATATTTTGAGAAAATGAATGATTACCTTTGATATATAATTCTGTAGAACGATTTACTTTGGCAACGTGATTAGAAGCTACACAAGTGTATTTGCCGCAATGCTCCAAGGACACCTTCTTGATAACTAAGGCACTAAAAAGCTCAGAATTCCGTTCCACCACCTGTAAAAATATTTTATGTGTATAATGTATACTTTGAATAGTATTATTTTTTCTATTTACAAATATCTGGAATATAGTGGAATAGCAGGGAGAATTGTAATGAATATTAAAAACTGCAACAATACTATAGTACCGAAACAAGTTACTTGAAAAGTTATATCTTTTGCAGATATGCATTGCCCTTATCAATTGTATTTGAAAACATAAATCTCAACTTAAACGTTGTTTAAAAATGTTTATTGATTTAAAATAATCCTCGAAAGTACCTAATACATTATTAATAAATTTTCTTACCTTCAAGTTACTAGGAATTCTTTTACCATCTTTTAACCACTCAAAATGGATTGGCAAATCTCCAGTTCGTACATTACAATATATATTTACAATTTGTCCTTCTTGCAAATTAGTTCCCAGTAACAGATCATCTAAAACTGGAGCTTCAATGACCTGGATTTCGAATGCTCTTCTAGCCATTTCACCCGAAGGACTTGTGACAATACAGGTGTAAACTTCACCATTGAATTCTTTGGAAACTTCAGGAATTGACAAAATTCCATTTATATTAACGCTAGGAGCATTTCGTCTGGTTTTCCGTTTTAGGTGTCTTTTATAACGTGATTGGAATATGGCATTGGATGTTAAGAGTTTTCCTTTATATTCCCAATCAATTTTACTGAAAATCATAAGTAATTATGGTTCATTTTTTATTGTTTTGTTGTGGTGAAAGACACATAAAAGTAATTCACAACCGTGGTTAATTTATGAAAAAATTTTTGAACATCTGAGGATGCTTAGTTGGAAATCAAACTGTTATTAAAGAATATGAATTCAATTATCCAGGGCTACTTGAAAAAAGTTAAAGTATTTAAATTAAATATTTATAGACAGAGAAAATAATTTATTTATATTAAACGAATTATATTACCTAATAGGATATCCATAAAATGGGCATCTTAAGTTAACGGATTCTCCGCTTTGTACTTTTACTGGCGGTAACGATCTTATGTATGGTGGACCTGGAAATATAAACAACTAGTATTGTATGGGAGCATCGGGTGTTAAGAGGACATAACCATGTACAGTGCCATTCGGTCAGAAGGTTGGTTAATCTAAAATATACCCTATAAACATTTACATAATGTACCTACAGTTAAAATAAGTACAATTATAGTACAATGACGATTTTGGTCATACCTGAAATAAACTGTTATGGATGGAGAAGAATTTCATTAAAACTAGTGTAGTGTTTAGACAGTGAAAACAAACAAATGGAGTTATTAATTAACATTAATATTCCCAGGATTCGGATTATAATATATATAAGAATATGGTAGTTTACTCAATTTTCATATACTGTTTATAGTAGATCGGTAGGATTTCGATTTTGACGTTTGTGACTAAAGCTGTCTCAAAGTTATAATAATAATTATGATATCATCTCGATTTTTTACAAAATACAGATACATTTGACACTTTAGCATTTAATCTTAGTTAGGATTTAAAGTTAGGTTAAGATTTTTGAGTCAAAGTGTCTTACCATACACGTCGAGTCTATTCTCGTGTGCAGCTATATGATCTCCTTCTCTAGCTGTACATGAGTAAAGCCCTCCATCTTCTACTCTTACTCTTGTTATATTCAGTTGTGTCACCACGGAGTTGTCTGATGTCATTACTTGACCTAGGGCATACCTGAAATCATTTGATGAAAATTTAAAGTTAAGGAAATACAAAATGACTAAAACAATCACTCGTAAGAACTAGGTATGTTAAATAAATTTATGGTTAAGACAGTAACAGAAGAAGAATTTTGGAGGAAAAGTCAGGGTGCTCTAATATTGGCAAATAATCTATAGTATATTAAAAGGAGTATTACCTCTACAAAATTTTTTTTAGAAGGCGATTTTTGTACAAACTGACTTTATAAATTTAATCTCCAAATATCTACCAGGTTTATATTTTACCAGTTGATAAACAGTTACCAACTATTTTTGCTACTTTTGTTAATATCAAACTTCTTTAGGTCTTTGTCAGTTTGATCAGAAATCGAATGATCGTAATATTTATCCATTGTGTTATTGCATTTATATATTGTATGTTCATGATATTTGTACGATCCACAGATCGACACAAACCGCGCTATATCATGTTCCGCGCGGTCAGCGATTTAACTCGATTAACGTTATTTTATTATAACATTAAAACAGTGCATTTTCGGTCACCATTCCGTTAGGTTGTACTTACACCATCTAACCATAGCATTGTAGATTTAGTTAAGTTAATATAAACCAGGTTGGCTTAACTCTATCTTTTATTTTCCCTGTACGGTAACCATAACCCGTACAAAGCTTTTTAAAATCTGATTGTAATTTATTCCGAACATACATTCTGTTATTTTTTAATGTTTTATTTTTACCTAGGATCAGTATTGCTGGAAACCACGATGCCGTCTCTTTCCCACACGAACTGTGGAGGTCTGTCACCTGTAGCTGCGCACAACATGCTGATCTGAGGAAGTGGAGAATGTTTTATAGTAATAAATTTACAAACATACATATGATATTACACAATGAGATTGACAAGAACACAGTAAGTTGCATCCCCCTTGACAAAGGCCCTGTTCGAAAGTATTTGTATATTTTGGGTCGTGGGGCTTTTGGGACCGGGACCACGGTCCTGAATCCTCTTTTTATAGAATAATTATTTTTATCATAATTTGTATAACTACTTTTTTTTTCTTGACCGTACTTTCCCAAGAGATAAATTGTTGTTTTTATTAATGGTCTTAATACACTACTATACAGTATCGATAGCCCCACGACCATATGTGATTTGAACCGTTTGTTTTCAAGATACAAATGTATTTTAATGTATTATGCCCTGATCTACGAAATAATTCTGACGAGTTACATCTATCGTGGTCAGCACAAAACTTACATCACCACCTGGAGTGACAGTCCTTTCAGTAAAGTGTTGAGTGATGATAACCCTGGCATCTGATAACCTTTTTCTTCTGTCCAGACCTGGAACAACAAAAAAAGTCATTTGATATTAATTATTTCTGCTCGTTATATGTATATGAAAGGCAAAGACAAAACATGACTCTTCAGTTGTAGGTGTCCATGGGTGGCGGTACTCACCTACCATCAGATGACCCTTGTGCTGGATAGCCCCCTTCCATAAAAAAACCTCCTTTTTGTAGTTAGTTAAAAAAGTTATCAGTTTCTTTTTTCATCAATTTATAATCCACTTAGGACCCCAAGATACATATAACATGATTTACAAACGTAATATTAAACGCCAGCCAGGGTAAATTTACCAATTATCGTGGGAAGGGCCGAAGGGAAGCGGTATTAATAGCCATTTAGCTACGTCACTAAGTGCCTGATTTACATAAATTTGTGCCTAGTTGCCGACCGTTGCCGCTCGTTGCTAGGAGACGTGTCGTCACAGATATATTAGCGATATTCAGGATTGGTCGTGAATATCTTGATGAAAGCTCGGCTTGTAGGTGTGTACACTTGCGGCGAAAATATTGTATCACATTTAACTTAAAAGTCTGTAACTTTATTTTATATAATAAACAGTAACATATTCAAATAAGAAATGTTTTATTGTAAAGAAATTTTATGGTATCGAACAAGAAAAGGTCACCGTCAACTCAACACAAAATCAGGGCATAGGGAAGTGGTTGGGCCTCCAGTGACTCCACTCCTTTCTTTTCCTAAGAAAGAATCCTTTACAATACAATGACATAACATAACGGACTGCTACGCCAAAGTCCTCGGGTTCAATTCCCGTTGAAGTCAAAAATTTGTGTGCTTGAACATGCTTGATTTGGTCTGGGTGTTTCTATGTTTATTTTGTATGTATTTACAAAAGAAAAGTATGTATGTATTTACATCAGTTGTCTAGTACCCATAGTACAAGCTCTGCTTAGTAGGACTAGATGGTATTGTGTGAATGTGGTAGGATATTATTATTATTATTATTTATAAAAAAAAAAAAAAAATCCTTAAGACTAAGACTAGCAGATACCATGAAATATTAATGTGGCACAATTTAGACACATTGTAGTAAGTGTATATAAAATTACAATAGTTATTTAGATAAAGCAGAATAAAGAAATATATAAATATATATTTCTTTATTCTGCTTTGTAATTCTGCTGCTATAAATAGGATATTTGTTTATACAGGAATCAGTTGGAGAATCGTCAACGCATTTTAAAGAGTATAAAGAGAGTCAAAACTAAAAGAACGTTCTTTTTCACTTTAATTTTCTTATCATCAAAGTAATACCTGTAGTAGTATTTTTATATGTCCTTTCTAAGGAAAGGCTTATGTCCAGCAGTGGACTGTTAAAAATAATAATAAGCTTGTTATACCTTTGCTGATTTAAGTATGATTACAATATGGACTTTAGGTATGTCGAGAAAATAACTGAATGAAGCTGACCGCCTTTTCTGCTCGCAAGTGTAAAGCAGCATGAACATTAATTGGGAGCAAATTCGTCTTCAGCTAATCAATCAAGGAGATTTAAGTTCGTTGATTGCACGAAGGTAAGGATGAGCGATTCTAATTATCTAAAAGACGGCAAATGAGTTGGTTTGATTGAAAAATATTAGGTTTTAATATTTATTGTAGATAATTATTAGTCTATGTTAGGTCGGAACAATTCTGAGTGCTTATGAACGTATCAGTTTTGTTCTGAAATAATCTGGTTGAGTTTACTTAATATTTATAGAATAGCAGAATTTAGTGTGTCTGTATAATGAAAGTAATAAGATAGAAAGTTCAGTGTTTACTCATCATCATCATTTAAGCCGAAAGACGTCCACTTCTGGACAAGGGCCTCCCCTAGGCTCCCCTAGGCGATGTCCAAGGACACCGCCAACACCACTTCGCCCCGGGAAACTGCTTCCTCCGCCAGAGCCTTCACGCGCATGATCGCATCCACGGTGGAGCGCCCCTGACGGAAACCGTACTAGTTGTCCGCCAGATCCGGCCCCACCATCACGAGATGCTTGACGAGGCGCCTTGCAATCACTCTTTCAAAGAGCTTGCACACCTCGTCAAGCAACACTATGGGCCGGTAGGCGGACGGTGAGTCCGCCGGGCGCCCCTCCTTTCGGATGAGGACCAGTTTCCCCGTCTTCCACAATTTCGGAAACTGGCCCCGCTCGAGGCATGCGCTGAAGAACCCCCGCAGTCGGGGCTCAAGAGCCTCGTCGACTAAGGCCAGGACCCACGCTCGGCCAGGAATGCCATCGGGTCCCACAAGGGCCTCCCCTAAGTTGCGCCACAACAACCGGAAAGTTAGGTATGTCTTTACTTAACTTTCCGGTTCTAAATAAAAGCTTAAATTGTAACCAACTTAAATACTTACTGTAAAAGTTTTATTATATTATATTACATATATTAGTTAAATACAAAAAAGAACAATGATAAGGCAAGAGAATATTTATTGATAATAATTTCCTAATTCCAATCTTATCAAAATATGTTACAGGAATGCTGATGGGTCATATATTAATGGCTTACAAATATTGTATAACATTCTTATAAAAATCAGTATATAACAAAAAAAAAAATTAAATACCAGTAACTTAATTTCCGCAATTATCCGTGTGGTGACGGATTACGAATACAGAGTGTCACCACCCCTATTCATCGTGGGTGTCGTCAGCGCCGACTAAGGGAGCAAACTAAGCAACACAACAGCACTGCAAATAGAAGGAAAACTTGACACCAACCCGTCTGTCCAGCGTGGTACAGTAGGCTAAAACCTCCATTCTAAGGAGAGGCCTATGTCCAGCAGTGGACTATTAAAAGCTATTGAATAATTGATTTTCTGTATTCCAGGAACCTAAAGAAACCAGGATCCCTAAAATCTATAAATTTCCATGTCACAGATACACATCAAAACCGGTATCAGCCGATAGCGTATACGTGTGTAAAAAATAAACTGATTTTTGTTTCAGTAAGTGTAAATATTGAGAGGATAACCACGCACACATGTAGGCTATAGAAATAGAGCCTTTATACGTGCACGCATTGCAATTGGCCCAACTCCTTTGATGTGGGCTTCTATGATGGAAATTGATTGGCTCTTAATTGAAGTATTCCACAGTTATGTGCTAATGAATATAGAGTTGTATTGAGAACGCTTTCATTTAGTTACATGTAGACATATACAAGAATAACTCGACACATTATACACACAGAAATTTGATCTAAAACTAGGCAGAGCCTTTGCAATGGTACTTTACTAATACTTATTTTTAAGTTGTTCTGAGTCTGGGTGTTCTTTGTGTCCGTCTCATGTATGTTTGTAAAGTCCTCCGCAACACAGGATATATTCCTAATGCGGGAGTGGTCTTTTCAAAAGAAAAAAAATATATATACTTAGAGATAAATTATACCCGTTTAGAACATAATCATACACGATTACAAGTTTTGACTGCACGGATAGTGTAGTGGTTTAAGCGGTCACCTCGATATTGAAAGCTTGCGATTAGAACGTAAAACAAATCCAAACATATGCCCCGGGACTATCAAACCTCATTATTTATTATCATACGGCCAGTGTGTCTAAGGTTATTGTTATTTATAATTATAACAATTATCTGTCGATATTTATAAGAAATAATTGGCTGCTACATTTGGTAGGATGGACGTGTTTATAAAACATCCTTTGCCGCAAGCGATATTCCAGTAAACACTAACTGATATTTATTTATTTTTCCATGTTTATATTCATGAAACGCAGACATATAAGGCTTTCAAAATACATTACACAAACGTGTTATAGCCCTACATGTTTGATCGGTGTCGTCCATTTGAGCGCTAGACCGCAAACTTCAATTACGGCGTATGATTGCCTCTGACTTCACGCTTTATAGCTGTACATACCGATTTTATCCTAAATATTGATAGATACGTGTATGTATAGCTACTGTTAAACGAAATTGATACGTAATATTTCAACTTTAGGGTCTTTTGTTTGATACAATGGATTAATAATAATAAAAATAATAATTTCACACATCTCACACACGGCCGTCTGATCCCAAACTAGGCAGAGCCTGTACTATGGTAATCAGACTGCTGATAAACATACTTATATATTTCTAAATTCATACATAATATAGATAAATTACACCCAGACACAGAACAAATGATCGTGCTCATCACACAATTATTTGTCCTGGGTGGGAATCGAACCCACGACCTCCGGCTTAGCAGTTAGGGTCACTAACCACTAGACCAACAAGCCCGTCATTACTCGGTTATGGTTAAAATATTGTTTAAGAGTCTTCAGATAATGTTTAAAGAAGATAAATATTAAAAGAAATTGATTTGGTGATATCAAAGCATTAATGCCATGCTTTGATATTACAAAATCACTTTTATAAAGTTAAATTTTTATTATTTTTAAAAAGATAACTCCCGCACTAGGAATATGTATATACTTTGTCGCGAGGGACTTTTCAAACATTCGTGAAACGACAAAAAAGAACACTTAGACTTAGAAGAACATTTTTTGTAAATCACACAAGTGTCTTGGCATCGAACCCACCGCTTAAACCTCCGTGCACTCCTTTCACTCGTACAAGTAATATATAAGATAATTTTTTTTTTAGTAATATTATCTAATAGTATATTATTTTAATAGAATAACCTTTTTGTAAACCTTTTTTTATTAAATTACTATACCCAGATGAATATGCACAAAGTGGCATTGTACATATTGAATTTAATAATTTAAAAATATTTTTAGTAGTTTGGAACACTGAGTGCAAACACCAGGTTTCATGTTGCAAAGCAAAGCCGGTGCACGTGGGTTTCATTCCCATTTAGCACAAATAATTGTTTCATGAGCACGATTATTTGTTTTGCGTCTGCGTATATGTGTATCTATAATAAGTATGTATTTAGAAATAAATAAGTATGTTTATCAGCAGTCTGGTTACCATAGCACAGGCTCTGCTTAGTTCGAAAACAGATGACCGTGTATGAGA